CCAAAATAAGTCATATTTCTAGACCTTTAATCATTTTTATTACTCTACTCTGGGCCTTCTCCTATTTCTACACATCTGTCTTAAATGTGGTGCCCAGAACTGGACACAATGTTGCTACTGAGGTCCAATCAGTGCAGAGTAGAGGAGAAGAATGATTTCTCATGTCTTGCTCACAACACTCCTGTTAATTCATCCCAGAGTCATGATTGCTTTTTTGCAACCATGTCATATTTAGCTTGTGGAGCACTGTGACCCCTAGATCCCTTTCTGAAGTACTTGTTCCTAGACAGTCACTTCCCATTCTGTATGTGTGAAACTCATTGTTCCTTCCTAAGGCTACGACTAGACTGCAAGCCTCTTTCGAAAGAGGCTTTTTCGAAAGATACTTTTAAAAAAGCTTCTTTCGAAAAAGAGCATCTAGACTACAATCAGTACTTTCGAAAAAGCAAGCTGCTTTTTCGAAGAGAGCACCCAGGCAGTCTGGATGCTCTTTCGAAAAAGCAGTTTGCATGACATAGCACTTTTTTTGAAAAAAGGTGTTATTCCTCATGAAACGAGGAGTACCACCGTCGAAAGAAAAGCCGCGTTTTTTCGATTTAATTTCAAAAGAACACAGCTGTAGTCTAGACGCAGGTGAAGTTTTTTTGAAAAAAGGCTACTTTTTTTTTTAAAAAACCCTGCAGTCTAGACACAGCCTAAGTGAAGAATTTTGTATTTATCCTTTTTGAGCCTCATCATGCTTACCGCAGACCATTTCTCCAGTTTGTCCAGATCATTTTGGATTATGACCCTAACCTCCAAAGCACTTGCAACCCCTCCCAGCTTGGTATCATCAACAAACTTAATAAGCGTGCTCTCTATGCCATCATCTACATCGTTGATGAAGCCATTGAACAGAACCAGTCTCAAAACTGATCCCTGTGGGACCCCACTTGTTATACCCTTCTAGCATGACTGTGAACAGTTGATAACTACTCTCTGAAAGTGGCTGTCCAAAAGCCACTATGATGGATATCTATTTCTGTTAAGATTTTGAATGCTATTAATTGCAAATAATTTATTTAATGAATTTAGTCCATTTTTCTGTTAATCTTTATCCACAAAGAGAGTTCAGTTTTTAGGAATCTATTCAAGATTAAAATTTTACATCACATAGTTTATGTAGTCTGAGAGATAGACATTAGTCTGTAACTTTAAAAACAATGAGTAGTCCTGTGGCACCTTAGAGACTAACAAAAATATACAGAATCATGAGCTTTTGTGGGTAAAATTGGATGAATTGGAGTGGTTTATGTAGATATGTTTTAGTCTATGGCTTTCAAGTGATCTCAATCACAATAATTGAGAGAGATATTTTATACGTGCTGTGTGATTAAGGATCTAAGTCCCGTGGTATTATCTCTGTGAGTTTGGAGTCATCAAATTGGGGTGACAATAGGGGGCTGCCTTTTCTTAAAACTTGATAGTTTCCTTTTGGATCTTATCCAGTTACAAAAATTTTAGCTTCCTATCTTCTTCTCTCCCTTTTGTAAACCCACACTTGCCTCAAGGACTCTGTTATTTTGGTAGACCCTAATGGAGTGTTTGATCACTTACAGTGATGGCATCGGTCGTTTAATCCTCATAATGTGGTCACAGTCTTCTTGCAGGAGTCTGTCTTCTGCCTCACCCCCATATCCACTGTCCTCCGTATCCATGCTGTCACTGCGACATTTGTGTAGCTCTAACTCCGAGAATTTGTCCTCTTGTTCCATCTGTTTCCAACCCTTGGTTAGCTCTGTCACCAGATTTGAGCACTTCCTCCTCCTTGTAGGAGACATTTTGTCCTTAAGAATTTTATCAAAATGACTTGATTCCGCCTTGCAGCCGCAGATCTCTGTGCTTCCATTATCCTTCTCATATCTATCACTGAGGAGGCTAATGTCATTTCCTTTTTCATAGACTTTACTTACAACAGTTTTGGTTACCTCCTTGCTTTTAATGTTAAGCTTTCTCAGAGCTTCATCAGATTCACTTGAATCTTTTACTACATCCCCTTTAAACACCATCTCCTTCCCTGAAGATTTTTCCATACCCTTTTCTTGGTGTGTCTGAGTAGAAACTGGCCATCTTGATGATCGCCTTTCTTTTGGTGGCTCAGTTGGTGGTGATTCTGAACCAGGCATCCATCCCTGGGGCTCTTGGGCTTGCTTTGTGTTGTGGTCGCTTACCCACTGTTGCCAGCCTCGTGCCAAGCTGATTACAAGGCTGGTGGTTCGGAACTTTTTCATGCCCCTTTTTGCAGGCTTAGCTTTTTGGCTTTCTTCTGGCGGCATGTTGCTGCCTCTTCTCCACCTCTTGTGGTAGCCACCTAGTAAATGAATGATCCTAGATGGAATATCTTCCAGTTGGGAGAGCTACAGTGATTTAAATTTAGAAGCAGGGAGCATTTGTGATATTGGAAACTATGTGAAGCATTTCTGACGGATATAGTGACCCTGCTCTGACAGTGTTCTTTTTTTAATACCTCAGGCTTGCATTTTGCCACAGCAGATGGAGGCTGCATGAGGTAAACAAAGATGACACTTACTGCCTACTCTTCTACAGCAGTCCTGTGGGAATTAACAGTTCCTGTAAAAACCCTTTCTAGGGTCTTTATAGTTCAGAATTTGCTTGACAGTAACTGGGTCTTATTTTTCCTACTAGTGTTTTGACTTGTGGCAAAAATATCAAAGTGTTAAATCCTAAAAGGAGATGAGCCCCTCAATTGCCAGTGACATCCAGAGGAATAATACAGCACCATGCATAAAACTGAGTTTCATCTCATTGTGCCAATCTGGGAATTTCACTGGATAAGAGATTTTAGTTACAGTTTCGAAAAAGTGTCTTGGTGATTTTTAATGCATATTATAAATCCTATCCTAGGGATTTCCGTATGTTTTCTTTAATTGCTCCAGTACTTCATCTCCAAACAGACAAAATTAATAAAAGTTATTGCTGTTTGCCTGTCTCGCCTATTGAGAAGAATGTACAATCTTTGGAGTTGGGACCATACTCTGTGGTTGTCTATAGTGAGTCTGCCTGGCCTCCTGCTGACCTGGAAAAGGAAACTCTCCCTAAGACTCCTTGGTGGGTGGTGCCAGAGCAACTCAGCCCCACCCACAGGAAGCAGAAAGGCGTGGCCAGCAGTATAAAAGGCCGAGCTCAGAGCTCTGTTGGAGCCCAGCTGCTGAGCAAGCCAGACACTCGGACCAAGCTCCATTGGAGGAAGGTCCAGCCACACTGCCCTCAACAGGAGTACTGAGTTAGGTCACCAGGCCTGCTGCCAGCCCCTGAAGACTGGCCAAGGCTGTCACAGCCATTGCTGGGCCTAGACAACTGGTTAGGGCTGCAGAGATCACTGCAAGGGCCTGAAGATCTGCCAGGACCCCCAGTACCCTCGCCGTGCCCTGAGCACTGGGCTGGTCCACCTGGGCCCCTGCCTGAACCTAACCCAGAGCCCATGGACACGCTGCCAGTTCCTTCATCCCTGGAGGCCCCTGCAGAACGGTTGCAGAGCCAGATAGGGGGAATCGAGAAGCAGCCCAGTGATAGCCGACCTTGAGCCAACGGAGGAAATGGAAGTCAGTTGGATAGTGCGTTGCAGTCAGGATCCCTGCTGGCCCATTGACCTGGTCGGTGTGTGGCAGTCAAGATCCCCACTAACTCACTGGCAGCCTCTGCTGCCACTGTTAGGGCCCTGGGCTCAGATGCAGGGGAACGGGTAGGCCTGTGTCCTCACTGCCACTCCTCATCTTGGGTGGCAGGTTCCCCCTAATAGGGATGAACTCCCCTGTGCTTGTTGGCTCTCTGCCAGTGAGGAGACCCAACCCCCGCTCCACCTGTCAATAGGCCTGCACCTTAAATTGGTAAACTAATTGTAGTGTTTGTTGCCCCACCCTGACCCAGGGCTGGGTCTTCTAAACTGCTGCTCGGCCTGCTGCCAGGTCTGGGCCTTACCTTGATTGTTTGCTGCTTGCCCGCTCTGACCAGGGCTGTGGCCTTAGAAACTATTTATTCATCCTGTAGCCAGGGCTGAACCTGTAAACTGTGTATTGCACCACCCTGCACTAGGGCTTAGTCCTACTGGGACCCATGAACTGCTGTTTGTATGTCTGCTCTGAAGCCGGGCCTTGGGGCTGGGCCTAAAGACAGTTAAATGGCTTTTGTGTGCCTGTGCCACCCTGTACTGTGAACCTGGGCAAAAGGAGGGACCACTAATGGTTTTTTTTACAGGCCTGAGCACAGGTTGGGGGCTCAGGACTATGCAGCAATGTCTACACTGTCCAATGCCTGGCAAAAGGGGGCTTCACTACCAATGTTCCCTCTAACTTTCCCCACTCTTGTGTGGAATCAATTTTGCTATGTGAACTAACTGTGGCGCATACAAAAATTCATGGAGTGGGATGGGGCTCAGGTTTGGAGGATGGGAGTGGGCTCTGGGCAGGGTCAGACTTTTGAGGTGCAGGGGGTGAGGGTTCTGGATGGGGGTGTGAGCTTGGGGATGGAGTTGAGGATCCAGGGGTTCGGGACTAGGGCATTTGGAGGGATAAGGAAGATTACAGATTTGCTGGGCCCCTGGACAAGGTGTGTGTGTGTGGGAGGGGTCAGGTCTGTGCTCCTGGAAGGGCCAGGGCTTTGAGGGAAAGGGGGCTAGATTCTCCCTGATAGCCCTTCAGCACTGCCCTGAGCACACCATCCGGGGCTCCAGTGAGTTCTAGGGGGAGGCAGGCCCCCAGCCCCACCTACAGCCCTGCCCCCCTGCTGACACCATGCCTCCCCCAAGGGGAGGGGAAGAGTGTGTGCGTGTGTCTCAGTATCCCTGGAGCTGTGGAGGGGGAAGAGGCCACATGGTCCAAGCCTATCCACCCCCGTGAGCAGCGGAGAGAGAGGAGGCCCTATGGCCTAAGCTGGCCCAAGCCTCCCCAGCAGAGAGGGAGGAGGCCACATGCATGTGACCCCCCACCCAGAGGGAAGAAGATGCTCGGCCCCAACCTCCCCCACCCTTAGGAGCAGCGAGGAGGGAAGATGGTGCACAGCTTGAGCCTCTTCACCCTTAGGAGCAGTGGGGAGGGAAGCAGCCCAACGGTCTGAGCCGGCTCAAGCCTGCCCAGCCCAACCCAAGGAGCAATGGGGAGGGAGGAGGCCTCCCCGGAGCAGTGGGAAGGTTGGTAGCTGCGTGGCCTGGGCCTGCCCAAGCCTCCCTGCTCCTGAGACCATCAGGGTGGGAGTGGGCCACGTACATCTACCATCACAATGGGACGGGTGTTGCTAGTATTTATAATAGTATTCATAATAAACGCAAGTACATTTTAAGGATACAAGATCTTGTGTTTTTATTCGGAACTTTCAGAAGAGGGAGCTCTCTCTCCCTTTTTGAAGATGCAGATAAAATCTAGTATCTATTTGGTGCTAGGATTGATACCTCCAAAGATTGGGGTTACTTGTTTGCATTTATAGGGTAATGCTACACTACTTGTAACACAATAGTGAACAACTGACATTTCCTCAGATGAAGCCCAGTGGTATCTTGTTTTCTGGTGTAATGTTTCCTAACTAGGAAAAAGAAACATCACTTCTTTCACTCCACGGGCATAGTAGTTTGCAGGAGGACCTACAGTGCTTTCCATGTGATCCAATGGGGACATTCATCCATTGTGGAATTCTATTGAATTTCCTGAAGTCATACTAGAGATACATTTGGATTCAGAGCTGGTACTGCTTGAAATAATAATTAAAAGTCATGGAGGATTTGATGGCTTTTGTCCTTAATAATATTTGGCCATATTCGGCCATTGATTAAGGGAGAATTCTTCATTAGTCTCAGTAATTATTTCTTCTTAAAATTGGTGGCGTGGATATGGCCAAATGTTGCTATTTAATATTTGTCTTTACTTTAGTCTGTTTATGGCCTCTGTAACACTATAACTTTATAACCAAGTAGATTTTCTGCTTCAGGCAAGTGAATTCCTACGCCACCAGTATTGACCTCAGATCGTGACATAGACTCTAATGCAAGGTTGGGAGAACAGGTGCTGTCCTAGAGGGTGGGGGAAAGTGCTCTTGGCCCTCCCCCTATGGTGCTCTCATCATCTTAGTCACCAGCTGTAGCAGTAGTGGGCCCTGTCACGCATGCCCTGCCGATGACTTGAAGGAGCCCCAAGCCCTGCTTAGCAGGGTGGCTTCTGTCCTAGGCATGAGGGCTGAGGAGCTGGCAGAGCAGTTGGACACCCTTTTTGATGCACTTGCAGTGGGAACAAGTCATGCTGCCGGTCCATGGAGGAGTGCTGAAAATTGCTAAGGCCTTATGGTAGATTTCTATTCTGCTCACCTCAAAACAGGCTGTGGAAAAGAAGTATTATGTCGTCTCTAACGGTTTGAATATCAATATAAACCAGACCTTAGGGTCACTGGTTGTATTGTCAGCCAGTGAAAGGAACAGGCAGGGTCAGGCAAGTGCCACCAGGCTTTGCTGGGGAGTTATAACTTCAGCCTTTGAGACAACATGCTTAAGGCCACCTTGCCACAGGTCCTCACATAGGTATGTGTGACTATCTTGGAGCAGGGTAAGGTGGTGGCACAAGACTCCCTCCAAAGGGCCTGTGATGGGGCTGATTCAGCCATCATTC